AGTCTTTCCTCGCCTTAATAAATTCGCCATCAATAATTCGATCAACCGACTAACCAATCGACCAGCTATCGGCTACGAAACTTTTAATTTAATAGAAAGAATAAATAATAAGATTAATAATTAATCAAATAAAATAAAGAGCGAAAAATATCATATTTTTGAGAATTTTTTGAATATTTTTTTACTGTTTGCCCAACTAAGAAACAGAGTGTGTTCATGAAGCAGTTCAGCAAAATTTTACCAATAGTAAATTAGAATAATTTATTATCAATTGAAAATCTAATTCGGAATATTGAGAGAATTGAGGAACCTAAGCTGCCTATGTAAATGTAAGTAAAATAGCTATACAAATACAGACACGTACCAAGTCCATATATACATATGAACATATGTACATGCATTCCAAGTACATACATATGTACATATGTCGTATGTCGCTGACGTCTTAAGTAAAAAAACAAAATGAAAACACGGTTGAAAATTTTCAGGTTTCACATACATATGTATGTATTTACATCAATATGTACATACATACATATTCATGTACAACTATGCGTGAACCCGGGAATGTCTTTTAAGTACTTAAAAATGTATTGGTATTGGTATTATTATATTGGTATGAATTTAATCGTAACAAAGGAACAATAAAGATAAATAAATAAGTACATATGCATATGTAAATACACGGATATACATATGTGCGTACGTACACATACATACATATGTATACACAGTAGAGTATTCATGCAAGCAGTCATTTTTGTTGACATCGCTATAAATCCGAATGTAAGAATATACATATGTACATTTACATACATACATACATATGTGCATAGTTAGATATGTAGACTCGAAAGACTAATTTTGCCATTATAGTGTTGTCAACTGATATATGTACATATGTATGTATGGGCGACTCGCAACGACAGAACGAGGCGCGGCAGGCTGCGCATGACCACGGGACAAGTACGATACACAGGATATGTAGAATCTTTAAAAAACGTGAATTTCCCATAAGTATGTACATATGTATGTACATTTATACTGGAAGAGCTTCCCCGAGAGATTAGATTGTATTAATTGTGTTGGATCGATAATTATTAAGCGTTTTCGGGTATCGAGCTCAGCATTCCCTTTTTGAATTTTCCTTTTCCACAAGTGTCCTGACTCTGAGCATGCGTTGTCAGCGTTGACGTCGACGCAATCAGTATATGCAACCACTTACTCTGTAGTTTTTTCGAAACTGCGCCGTCAAGAGCACAGAGTATGCTTGTGTTACCTTTTAAATTGTTCATTTTCATCCCCCTATTCCGCTTTGACTAGTGAGCTGTCTTTGCTCTCTTTTCGGACTCGAGCTTATTCTCGCACTGTATGCCTAACGTCGGCCGTGGTCCCTCTTGAACAGCCCTGTTAGAGTATAGTCCATACCCCCCTATCGCCAGACCGGTATGTTTATACATATGTACATATGTATGTATGTACATAGCAAGGAATTACTTACTTGACAGAATTAATTGTTAAATTAATTATTTTTGACTGGTCACTGCAGTGGTTCGGTTCAGAAGGGTTTCTGTCTTTCTATGTACACACACATGTACATACACGTACATATGTACATACCTACTCATGCATTTTTTTTTATAGACCTCTGTGTAGTCGACATTTACTATGTTGGTAACAACAAAATGAAGAACAACAAATATGAGCTTAATCTCTTTAATAGAGTTTGGTAGATATGTATGTACATACAGTCCCCGACACTTCGGCAAAATCCAAAGAAAACGATGAATTTAAATTGTTTTAAAAATCTTTATTCAATTTAGCATAAATTGCAGTATTCGACACCTGAATACGACACTCATATTGACATCGAAAAAATTCTCAAAAATCAATTCGAGTGTCCTTATGAGAAAGAAATTTGGTATTTGGTTATGGTAAGTCCTTTTCAAAATCGAAAATAAAAGCATCGAAGGTAGTAGGTCCATCAATAATGAAAATAAGTGAGAAAATTGGTAAAACTAGGTGTGTTCTGAGTGATTTCATAACAAACGGGTAAAATTATGTCAAAAACATAAAAACCGATCCAAATTGCTACTTCTGAGAGTGCTATGCAAATCTTTTCTGCGAGACGCATCTAAAATACACGATCCAAGCTTGATGTACCAATTGAAATCTATATTTTAAGCTAGTTCTAAAATAATAAACATGTTTTTTCTAGGACTGCCTTGAATTTTGCTTGTATGAATTAAATCAAATGTACGAATTGGGTGTACAAAATTTGGTTGCCTTCCAATGCTAAGTCAATAATATAAGTATTTTATATCAACAATAGTTTATTTCTTAGTGCAATTGACACATATTAAATTAAGCCATTATACCATTATGCCATATACATACATATGTATGTATGTATGTAGTAATAATTGCAACGCGACAGTCCTTTTAATCGACAATCTACTGTGATATTCTTGAATCTGAAGATAATAAATAACGTCCATATAGCACTAAAAATATTATATTTTTTGAAAAATATTCGCTCAAAATGAGATTTTAAGAAATTAAATTGGCCGGTGTAAATAATCAAGATTTCTCTAGTCCCCAGCAGTGTTGCCAGATTTTGAGAGTCACCATAAGCTAGATTGAAGAAAGAAATAAGCTAGAATAAGTAAAAATTAAAAAAAGCTCAAAAGTAAGATAATCATAAAAACACATCAAAATAATGGGTAATTGAATTTTATTGATATTTTTTTGTTCAATTTTTAATTAAAGTAATGCATTATTTTATCCATTTCATTATGCTATGGCCGAGTGATCAGCAATGTACAAACAAAGTGCAGCCTCCTGCTCTTCTGCTTTTGAGGACTTTCTAATAAAAGTTTTGTTAGTTTGTGTCATGCTTGCATTGAATATGTTTTTAACGACAGCATGCTGCCGTAATTCGCACAACTTGGCCCCAATTGTTGCCTTACAGACCAGAATAAGCTAAATGAAATTTGAAATAAGCTAGATTTCAAGCTATAAGCATTTCAATTATTCTTCAAGCTATTTGATTTTATAATAAACAAATTCTAGCTTAAAATAAGCTAAAATGGCAACAGTGGTCCCCAGGCGATTTCTATAAATCATGCGATGGGTCTTCGAAGTTCGAACTCAATAACATAGGTGTTCTATTTCTAGAGTTGAAAAACTTTTTTCGGATCGGATAAATCACACAGTGCTTGCACAATTTTGATTAATAGACGAATATTTCTTGTATCAAATTTCTTCCGCTACAGATGTGACAGGAGATGTAACAGGAGACCTGTTTGGTCCGCTCATGAAATGTTATTTCTTGATGTCGACAAGCAGAATAACTGTCAAAAAAAGAAATAAAACTATAAAAAAAACAAGGCGGAACGTTGTGCGTTGCTGATGCGGCCGGAACGATACTTAGTCAGTATGGCTCTCCTCCACCAGACGCCGCTTATATTGAACGACACGACAAAGAGTGCGTGCGAGAGAGACAGAAAATCAGTCAGAACGTGTCGTCGGGCGCTGCGTAGCCACTGAAAATTGATTTGTTCCTTTTTTCCTATTGGTTATAATAATGATTCGATCTGATCCAAATTCGACAATCTGTTTGATATGGTAATTTTCTATGATTTATAATTTTCTCGTATCTTCAAAATTGTGGATGCCACAGATTGGCATCGTTTGCGGGAGCGGAAGGCCGCGGGGCGAATTTTTGAAATACACTTATAACAGTGACATATTTCAGAAGTCTGGATAGAAAAATGTCGTTGCTCTTGACTCTCTCGACTCTCGACTGTCAATCGACTCTGATGCTGATCAAGAATATATTTACGGGGGGTCGGAAACGGGGGTTCCTTATGGACGTTACACACATCAACTTTCACCACAAATCTAATATACCGCTTGAATACATTTCTCGAAATAAATCGTCTGCCAAAGAATAATTAATAAGTCTATAAGTCTTGATCTTGGAAAGGTTGTATTTATTTGGCGCAGATGTTTGAAACACACAGAAAGAAACCTCTCCAACCCTTTATACATATACATATGTACATACGTATATATTTATAATTTTTACCAGGATAATGAGATAATTTTATTTTGTTATGTTTGTATGTCGGTCCGTACGGCCGTCTGTCAATAAAAATGTGGGGAGGTTTTAAGCTGTCTATTTTCTGTTCGTCTGTTTACTGAGTGCACTGAATAAGTCAGAAAACACTTGTTTTAATTGATCGAATATCTTCTTCACAATTGAATGGCAGACCAATATTTAAAACAGATTTAATACAGCCATACTCATTACACGCAGTACATGTTACAAACAGTATTGGAATAAAGTATACCCTTGTATTTCACGTGTACACGGTATAAGAACGTGTGCAGCCAGTCATTCCCATTCATTCCCACAAATTACTATTAATTATTTAATCGGTTGAGTCTAATTTGATCTCTGGCGACAATTTCGCTGCCGCTGCTTAATGCCTGTCCTTGCTTAATTAGTGCAAATTGTCATTGTCAGCATTAACATCAGTGAAGCTTCATACTGTCTGTATGCAGACTTCCATCTGAACAGCTGTCTAGCGCCGCAACACTTGTGCTCTTGCCACGCACTATATTCATATACGATTATATACAAATTCATATTTTACTGGATCTACAAAGCTTTGCAAATTTTTTCGTAAGTGCTCAATACATTCAATGCTAAAAAATGTATATTCGAAAATCTGTAACTAAAGACTCGGTGAAGTTATTTTGAAATTTTACAGTTATTCCCACTAAGTTATTTTTCAGTCCAAAATTAGCTTATCTAATTTTTATTTTTCAGCTCGTTTTTAGGAAATTGAAAACACCAAATCCAAATACAGATTTCGATGCAACTTGACTCAAACACTTAAGTCGGGTAAACGTTCCAATTTGAGCGTTTTCAAATTATATAAGTAAAAGTGATAATACTATCACTGTGATTTACCGGATTGGATATTATTTTGGTTTGCGATTCTGTGTGTTTTTTTACTGTACAGATAACAAAGCTGAAAAGAGATCCAAAAGCTTGATTGAATGAGTGAATCGTGAGTGAGTCAATGAAATAGCTGAGGTGAGGAAAATATAGAGTGCCTTGCTTAGCACAATGAAGCTACAATTTCAGCTCTACCCTGATGGTTATAAAAGCCTAGACGCAGTCTTTGTTGCAAACGCAGATAAACTCATCATCACAGCCATCCACTGCCACACAACCTGACCTACGAAAAAAATAGAATTGAGTGTTACCAATGTGCCAATAGCTGCAGTAGATTGATATCTAAAATATAGTGCAGCTTCAGCATCAAAAGAATACTTAAGCTACGACTATTAAGACGCATAATTACTTTTTGATTGTCTCAAATGTGCCAATTAAAGTTTGGATGCATGAGAGTACCTTTTGGTAAATATCCTCGGGAACGAGAATAAAAAGGGGAAATAACCTTTAAAAAACGAGGAGAGGACAACCAAGACTTAGCATTGACGCTAACACAGACGTTGACGTCGACGCCTACTAATTAAAACACATCATTGAAGCTGCATAATGTGGATTACCATCACCTATTTGATCCTCATCATTGCCCAGCTGAGCACGTTGGCCACATCCGCAGGCGGTAAGTAGTCTAAATGTTATAATATCTGTTCCCCGTTAGGTCTCGGGAACACTAAAGCTGAAAGCATAGATTAAAATTTCACTTTTTTCAGCCAGCATCAGCTTGGTATTTATTTATTTATTTATTAAATTAACAATTATCTGTTTATAATGGTACTTAATTACAAAAGGAGGAAAAAAGGGAAGTTAAAAGTTAGTTAAATTTAGGTAATTATAAAATTGCATTATTATAAATATTGCATGCTATTTGTTTAAGGGATAGTTCAGGGGATAAGGTATGACAGAGGGAGTTATAATTATGGCATATTACCCTAAAAGGTTAATCTTCGGCATAATTAGACCTACATATGGGTAAGCGGATTGGCCTAAAAGTACGGGTAGGTCTAGATGGGACGGCCAAGTCGATCTGACCTATGAGAGTTTGGGAGTCAACAATCCCGAGAAGGAGCTTGTGCACGAACATTACGCCATTGCATATTCTGCGATGGTGCAAAGACGGCAGGTCAATAAGATTTAGCCTAGACCGGTAGGGTGGTAAGATTCTACCCAAGTCCCAGTTAAAGTTACGAAGGGCAAAAATTAAAAATTGCTTTTGCACGGATTCCATAACAACCTGCTGCTCTTTCTACTACGGGCTCCAGTTGTTTCGTAACGTACGGGTCGTCAAACTCCTTGGACCAACGCTTGATGAACGCTAAAACACCCTTAGCTTTATTTACTGTTGCAGTAAAACACATCTGTTAAAACACATCTTATGATCAAAAAGGACTCCGGGGTCATTATGACTCGAAATTAGCTCGAGGACATGATTTCCTGGAACATATGAGACAAAATGTGGAGCGCGACGGTAAAATCTCATAAGTTTGCATTTAGAAAAGTTCAGAAAAAGAATAGAATAGAATAGAATAGAATAGAATATTCGTTGGGAACCCTAATAAAGAGAGCTTGTGAATAAGCAGAGCATGGTTCACGGAATCGAATGCCTTGCTGAAGTCCGTAAAAATTACATTTGTCTGCAAACCACTTTGAAAACCACGGTGGATTAGGTTAGAAAACTTAAGAAGGCTAGTCGATGTTAAACGATGTCTGAAAGAACCGTGTTGCGACGGATATCAAGCTGCAACAAAGATGTTGCAGTTGCCGGGTGACCAGGAACTCAAGAAGCTTCGGGATGGCGGAAAGCTTTGCGATACCACGATAGTTTTCAATATTTGATCTTGAACCTTTTTTGTAAAGCGGAATGATGTAGGACTCATTCCAAATTACTGGGAGACAAGACTGTTCCAAAGAGAGGTTGGAGGTCAAGGGTTTGTAAAGGGACTGGGCACAGTGTTTTAAAATGCAACTTGGTACCTTATCTGGACCCGCAGAAAACGATATGTCCATAGATGACAAACCTTCCAGAACAACGCTTTCCTCGAAAATAGGCAGAAAAATGCTGTTAGCGTGAGGTAGCTGGTACGGATACGGAGTGGATGCATTGTAAATATGAGACGCGTACGTTGTTTGGAAGAAGGTAGCAAATAAATTTTCAAAACCAACAGCAGAAGCTTCTGTTTTGTTGCGGTAATGAAGGGACAGAGGAAAAGCGTTTGACTTACGCTTAGAGTTAACGAACGAATAGAATTTTTTAGGATCATTACAAAAGTTTCTACTACATTGTGAAAGGTAATGATTATAACACTGACTATTAACGGCAAGGAACAGAGAGCGGAGGAGTATAGAGCTAAGGCCGACGATACAGTTACAGTGATATCTGGAACAAATGTATTAAGGTCGGAGTAAATAGAACTATAAAACGAGTTAACAGTTGCAACTATGTTCAGTAATGAATAAAGAAACGACCAATCAACAAGCAAGAGATGTAGATCTAAATCGATAAAGTTTGTTTTGCGAAAACACTTTATGTGGCAAGGAGCCACATAACCAGATCAACGGATATCGATAAAGTTGGATGGGAAGGATCTTCAGGGAATGATATTGGGCTTGCTCCGTAGCATGAGCAGCATCGTTAACAAACATGAGGTCAAGAAGTCTGTCCGTAATGTTTTTAACGGCATTAATGTGGACAAGGGAAATATCCGTTAGCCCATTGATAAAGACATTGTGGCAATTGGGAAACAACAGGTTAGCGTCATCGCAAGGTAGCCAAGAAAGAAATGAGAGGTTAGAGTCCCCCATGACAAGAATTTGATCATTGCAACCTAATACGGATACGACAATATTAATTTCTGAGAGGTAGTTTAAGTAAACCTCAGCATCAGAAATGCGAGGAATGTAGGAGCAGGTTAAATAGGTAAAACTTTGACTGCAACAAATTCAATTCCATGAATGTTATTGAAAGGGAATAACTCAGATGAGAAATCAGATTTGACTGCAATCAGAACCCCAACTGCAAAAAATGGGCGGTCCATTCTATAAATAGTGTAATTCTAATAGAAGACTTAGGCCAAGTTTCGGTAAAAGCGATGGCATCGAAATCAAAAGACGCACTATTTGTATGAATTTGACGCAATTTGCCCAACAATTTGCGAACGTTCTGATAGTGAATAGAAAAATGGTACATCAGTTTTTTGGAGCAGCAGGTTTGGTAACTCTGGGACTCGAGTTCGAATCTTTGTGAAGGAACTCATGCATAATTTTATGCTCAGGCCATATTGACGGTTCAAGAGATTTGGATAGAAAATAATCAGGGAGAAGAATTTTAGAGGATGTTATGTTGCACTCATGTTTAAATGTAAATTTAGTCACAACTATATCATCAGGCGAAGCGTTAAGTTTAGAGGAAAGATGTTGTTTAACGTCCTCCGTTGTAGCCTCAGGAATAAGACGGGAAACAAATATTGCTTTCCGAGGGACCACTGTTCTAAGTTGAAGTCCCGAGCGAGATCTTGATGGTGGAGCCACTCCTAAAAGAGATCTCGGTCCTGGGGCAGAAGAATTGGCAGCAACGGATGTAGCAGGAATTGGCAAGACATCACCAGCAACCAACACACCGCACCCGCACTCACCACGTCAGAAGTGATGGCAGCAGAAACTGCAGGGATGGGATTGATGGTGATGGGAACTTGGATGCTCGATGGAAGCACATTGCTCGGTGTAAAAAACACCGAAGCCGCCGTTGGCGGATTGACAGATAACAGCGAGGCATGCTTTCGAGAGAGTGTGGCCGATGCAAACGCTGATGCGCGAGAACAGTGCACACCGAAGAAACGATAACGAAAAGCAGACTGGGTAAAAAACAATAATAAATTACCTGCACGAGTCCGATGCGTTACGTTGCGATATTTTATTTATATTAAAAACTACTTTGCAAATGAAACACTGCTGATTAACACAAAGTATAATCAAATAAAAGAGATGCGATGATATATCAAAACAAAGTGACAACAATGTTGTATGATATTTAAGCAAAGGGCGGAGAATGCAGGAGCAAGAAAAAATACAACCGGCTTAAGTAAGAGCTAGAAGCGAAGGTATGGTTCGAAGTTTTTCAATTGATCCGCTCGTAATATTAAAATATCAATAAATCAATCACTGCAGATTAATTTGTTCCTTTTGGCTATACAAATTATCCGATCTGATCCAGATTCAGCAGCCGGATAGATATGGTCATTCTCTATGATTGTGCGTTATTAGTTTTTTCGTATCTTCAATATTGTTAATGCCACAGATTTTCGTCCTTTTTGTGGTCGGAAGGGGGTGGCGAAATTTTGAAATACACGTTTTATAGTGAGATCTAACAGATGTGCGGATATCAAATTTGGTTACTGTAGCCTTAATAGTCTCTGAGATTTGTGGATTACCCAGATTTTCGTCCTTTGCGGGGGCGGAAGCGGGTGGGGCGTAATTTTGAAATAAACTTTTGCAGGTCCGAAATCACAGGAGTGTAGATACCAAATTTGTTTGCTCTAGGTCTTATAGTCTCAGAGATCCTTGAACTCACATTTTGCGATAGGCAAAGACGACCATGAAACGTGTGTGTTAGAGAGAGACAGAGCAAGAGAAAATGAAATTGTTTTGTTCATTCTTATAATAATAACAATACGATCTGGTTCAGGTTCTGCAGTCTAAAAGATATAGTAATTTTGATATAGTAATTTTGCTTTGCATCATAGCTGATGACTGCGAATCGGCGACTCGTCTAGACCGTCTAGAAATAAGTTTCGTGCGGCAAATGCACATTGCTTGGCACCATAGCTGATGACTGTGGATCGGCGAATCATACCAGCAATGCCAAACTGAAGTCACTAACAACGCAGCGACGCTGAAGGTCTCGTAGATTACCTTCTATGTATGTTGGCAATGTTTGGTGTGTGCGCTTTGTAAATTCCATAACTGCTATTCGGTGAAATATACGATGCGCTGACACCGTACCACCAATCAGATCCAGAATATAGTCGTCATCCAACAGAACAATTGGGCACAAGTTATAACCAAAATGACAATGTGAAAATCGCATGCTCATACGCGCTATATTTTGGAAAAAATGCGTATATGCGTCCATCGCCAAGGTTAGTGGCCGCGGAAGAAGGATCCAGAACAGGACTTGGCATATCCTGAGCAACAGGGGTGAGGCTCACCCGTAAAACCTGACGGATCGTCGCAGTCCGAATCAGCAGCACACTATCCTCGTCTAGAAAATTGGGCAGGGGAGCGGTACGGAGAACCAATCTAGGTGCTGGTGTTGATAGGTGGCGCTGGACGAACAAGCAGGATGTAATTTAGCGATATTTTGTTGAAAGCCAATGAACACCACTTTGGTATGTAGTATTGAGGCGCTGAGAAGTCAGGGCTGGTGACCAAAGACACGTGACCCAAAGCATTCGTTCAACGACTCGGTGCATTGGAATCAAAACGTTCTACACTGATGAGCTATCTCAAGTAAGATACCATTTAAATTGTACGCCTAGAAAGAAATTGATAAGTTAATAATTTACTATTAAAAAAAAAGTAAGGAAATGGGGGAGTATAGTAGGAAGTTCCGCGTCTCTGTGGAAA